GATCACGCTTCGGCAAGTAGAGTACCGCTGCCTCAAAAAGGCACCAGCTTCGGTGGCGGTGGGGGTTTCGTCAACAGTGAACGCAAAAGCAGGGGGGAGAACCTCGCGCCACTCGTCGAGTTGGTGGTTGAGTTCGCGGACGACTGCGGGGAACCGGGTGGGATCGAGAGCAGCTCCAGTAGTCTGAGCGTAGAGTAGGTGGTGAACGCGATTCAGAAGCCGTCGCATGGAGATACACGCCAAAAGGTAGAGAGAAGCAAGTTCCTGTTGATGTGCGTCGGCATGGGTGTGGTATTCGCCTGGAAGGGGCGTTGTCGATTCAATGGCAGAAATTCCTGACTGCGGCAGGGCAGAAAGCTCGGCGAGATAATCGCTACTGTATGTCAATAAACCGGTCATGGGGTAGCCGTGCGTACTCTCTTGTTTCAAGCTTACCTCTCCAGGATATAACAGGACCAAAATATGCGTCTAATGCGCTCGCTGTCTTCCGTTGAGTCGTCCTCTGAGGTGTAGGAGAGCAACAGCAGGCATTTGGCTGCAGCGGCGTTGATATACTCCCAAGCCTGAAGCGGGCGACGTAAGAATGCAAAGTACATAGCAACGTAGAACAGGCAGTGGGTTGACGTGCTTCCAATGTGTGTGTGCACGACATGGAGTCTTTTAAGCACGCCGTCGAAGTAAACGTCGGCCATGGCCTTCTTCGACGCGCGTGTCTCATGGTCTTTCTGGGTCAGAGATGTCGTGCCGCTGACCAAGTTCGCTGTGACCTGCCCAGCAAGACCCAACGCCATAGTCAATAACGCCAGGCACACTTCGATGCTGTCCTCTTCAGGCACGCCATTGACTATGAGGGCGCGCACCCCAGCCATTTGTTGCTGAGACATGGTGGGGTACCAAAAGTTTACCGTTTGGCCGAAGGACTCGAGGATTTCGTCAACTTCGCGAGGCGTCACGAAAGGATACCACGTCGATGAACGGGACTTGATCGGAGGACGAGCTTGCTCGAGACGGAAGATGGGGTCGTACCCATCGCGAAGGCCGGGGAAGACGTCAAAATGCGGCCACTGGAGGACGGCCTCGGTGGCCGAGGTGTGCATGGAAGCGAGTACGGCATTGTCGAGGTTGTTCGCCGCCGGCGGCCAGTGGGACTCGGAGAGAGGTGTCCGATGGTGGAGAACCTCGGTACGGGGTGAGGAGGAGAATGAGGCGGCTCTAGGGACGGCGGTGGGAAGGTTAGGCGACACCATGGACTGGCGACGACGGTGCTGTTGCTGCTGATGATCCTGGGGTGAAGGCGCGGTCTTCGCGGCGACATGTGATGAGCCATGTCGGTCGACCAAGGTAAATGAAGTGGGGTGACTGACAATGGCGGGGATAGCGGACTTCATCTCATGGAGAAATTTCTCAACACGGAGGACGCTCTCGAGGATGAGGTCACTTTTGCCTCGGCTGCCACAAGGTCAGCCATCCATCATGATGCGAGGGTACCACTCGGATCTATCTCACGAGTTGGCTTCGGAGCCGTATGTACACTCCTGGCGCGAACCATCGCATGACGCGCAAGGGGTGTTGCCATTGCATCTTATCTTCTTGGCACGGCACGCATCACACTGTGTGTGTGTGAAACATGATTAGCTTTGTGATGTCTCCAGACGGTAAGACCCTGAAGAGGATGTGCAGCGCCGATCTCGATTGAGAGGCAGAGCGCGTCGTCTCATTGCGGCAGAGGGAGGGTAATGCGGCTCACAGCATGGCTTGTCCGAAGCCTCTTCCTGGCCGGCTCCGAGCCAGATTCGTGGTCCATGACATGACGCGGGATGTCGACCAGTTTGGATCAGTCAATCGCTTGGGGACGAAACGGGTCGTGGTGGGTGCATGATACGATCCGAGGCGGACCGAGGTGTCGTGAGCAATAGAAAAGGGACTTTGTCAGTGATGGAAAATGCGGAGAGAATCAGAAGGGGCACAAGGACAAAGACCGAAGGCGCGCACAGGCGCCAGGTGCACGCCGCACGAGGCGTTGAAGACCCGACCCGACAGAGCGGAAGTTGCGACCTGGGGCCAACCTGCCCTGCGTGTGGCTGGCTGGTGGGTGCTTCCTTCCCGTGCCTGTCCTTAGTGACCTGACACGAGCATGCTACTGGTACCTACCTACCACTTATGGCACTGAAGGTGAGGTCGGGCGGGTACGTACTGTACCTGCCTTCCACGAGATGCGGGGGCTGCGGGGTTACGCAGACAGGGGGACGGCAGCACCTGCCGCGGTCAAACTGCTCGCAGCCATCAAGCCATTGTCAAGCCATACCAAGCCACAGCAGCCTTTCGACCTGGACACCTCGTCTGAGGTTTGCGAACGGGCACGGATGAAAACACCAAGCAACATTATCGTCATCAGGCCCCAACTTTGACTTCAACTTGACGCCAGATAAGATGGTCTTTCCTGGTCCGCTGCCCACTGGGCTCTGCCAACCAGGCAGTTCTCGGAACAATATGAGGCAATGATCAACCCATGCCATGCAGTCCGCCAAAAGCCCACCGTCCTCCTGACTGTCAAATCACCACCGCCGTTATGTTGCCGTCTTAGAACCGGTCTGGGCTGATTTGTAAAGGCTCCCCTCGATATGCGCTGGGAGATGGTCAGCTCGGTCATCCCACCGGCCCATGCGTCGTTGTCGTTGGTCACCCAACCCACGTGGTGCCTCAACACCAAGGGACACGTCCGCTTGGTCCCCAACCTGCTGCAGCTCTAGCAAAAGATCGACAATGCTCGATGAAGCAATGCCAACTTCTAGGCGGCATCGTGTCGCGGCAAAGGAAAGACATTGGTCGGCCGAAACGCCAAAGATTATCTCGAGTCATTTGCGAAGCCCTCTCAAGGTCTTTCTGCGGTGATGGCGATTCTTTTCTTGGTCCCCAGAGGGGCCCGCTGGAAGAATGCTTAAAAAAGCCTTGAGCAGCCAAGTGGCTGTTGCGTGAGGATGAAGCTGCAGTTCCATTTCCAGAAGACTGAACCAACGCCCAAGACGAATAATGCATCACCGATCCGTTGTGCCCATCGCGTTATCCGCGGCTTTTGCAAGCTTCGGCCTCAGTGCCCCTTCGGCAGACCGACTCAGCGTCAGACAGCTTTCTGGCTCACTTGCAGTGGTCGGAGGTCAAGAAGCCTTGACATTCAGCTACACCACACCCGACGCCTACTCTACAAACTGGGTAGGCCTTTACTATCCAGGTGGTGGCCCTATCAACCAAGTCAAACCGGAGCAATCCCTCATCTGGGCCTACGCTCCTGACTCGGAGGGCACCGTCAAACTGTCTCCATCTGGTCTGCAACCGGGGAACTACTCCGCCTATTTTCTTGCGCGGGACGGCTACAAGTGGCTCGCCGAGCCCATCACGGCCGTTCTGCCCCGTGCTCCGTCTGGGCCCCTTTCCTTTCTCGTCAACAAGGCAACTCTTCACAATGCTCGTCGGGGCGAGGCCTATGAGGCTCGAGTCGGAGGCTTCGTTGCCGGTGGTAGCGAGGCTCTGACTTTCTCGCAGGCCTCCAGTGACAGCTGGGCCAAGGTATCTCCTGAGGGGACCATCACGGGCACACCTGGCCGCACAGCATCCAACACATACATCACTTTGCTCGCAACATCAGGAGATTCTTCAGCTGAAATCAAGCTCACCATCCCCGTTCGCCGTGCTGGTTCTTCTCTCGTCAAGACACTTCGAGTCCTGACTTTCAACATGTGGCACGGGGGCACCCAGGTTGACAACTACCACGAGAAACAAGTCCGCTTCCTTCTCGAGAGCAACGTCGACATTGTGGGCCTTCAGGAGGACCAGAGCGGCCGCCACGCTCACCGCCTGGCAAATGCCCTGGGGTGGCACTACTGGGCCAGCTCGCGCAGCGTCGGTGTCATTAGCCGTTACCCCATCGCCGAGAAGTTTGGGGAGATCAACGCCTCGGGCGGTGTTCGCATCGCGCTCGACGGGAATGAGCAACAAATCAACTTCTGGGTTGTGCATCTCGGCTACACACCTTACGGACCCTATGACTTCTGCTTCGACGGCATGGACGTTGAGACTGTCATCGAGCGCGAGGTAAAGTCGGGACGTACGCCTCAGATCACCGACACTCTGGCCGCCATGAAGGGACAGATTGCATCCGCTGGGGATGTGCCTGTGCTCCTCGTTGGCGACTTCAACGCACCTTCCCACCTTGACTGGACTGAGGCTCTCAGGAAGAAGAATTGCGGCTTTGCTAACGTACCGTGGCCGACGTCTGTCAAGACCACGGACGCGGGCCTGGTTGACTCGTTCCGCGTTGCGAACCCAGACCCCGTCAAGGTGCCCGGCATCACTTGGTCACCCTTATTCCCCTTCCACGATGGGGCAACGGGACGCTCCGAGCCGCAAGACCGTATCGACTTCATATACCATGCTGGCAATCTGACGGTCAAGAACTCCAAGGACGTCGTTGTCGGTAACCCCAAGCCGTCGCCGAATCACAAGCAGAATGAGTGGACCACGGACCATGCAACTATTTTGACGACGTATGAACTGCCTGCTTGAAAATCTGAGGCATTTGAGCGTCACTTGAATATAAGTGTTGTAGGACGTCCATTGATTGTACGTCTCTACTTTTGGACTGTCAACGTATGATATCACTATGCTATGACTGCAATTCAACTTTGCAGGGACTGGGAGGGTAATTGGGAGGCAAAGCAGATGCCCGAATCTGCAATTTGCTTACGACTACGACGCCCGCTTTTTCGCTACCTAGCACTAAGGAGACGTTACGAGAACCTTGAAACCTTTTGGAACGTTTTCTTTTCTCACATGTGCATGATCCAGGTCAGAACACGTAATGTTTACACAACTCACTGCATGCATACGAATGGGAGCACAAGTGAGGGGACCCATATCAGTATGATGGTTTGCTTGTCAGAACTAAGTGCCGCTCATTCTGTCTACTACCTTGATGTGTATGCTGAAGACTCTCGTGTGGGCCATTACCGACACCCCCCGAAAAGCTGTCGGCAAAGCGTTGAGTTGAATCCTGCAGACGGGCTGCGTAACCAGGCGCCACCTTGCGGACTCACCCGGAATCCCCGGCCGTGCGGACCCCAGTAGGTCAAGTTCCTTGAGCCGGAGCCGCCATATCCTGAGCTGGACCGATAGGCAGGGCTGTGACTACAGCAATCCGAGCAGGAGCTGCCGTATCCCGAGCTGGAACCATAACCGGAACTGTAACTACAGCAATCTGAGCATGAGCTGCCGTATCCCGAACTAGATCCGTATCCGGAACCGTAGCTGCCGTAATCTGAGCTTGATCCATAGCCAGAACCGTAGGTGCCGTATCCAGAGCTGTAGCCTCCGTACCCAGAGCCGCTGCTGCCGTTGCCAAGGCTGGATCCGGAGCCGTAGCTCCCATACCCAGAGCCGCTGCTGCCGTAGCCGAGGCTGGATCCATATCCGGAGCCATAGCTACCGTAGTCCGAGCCCGACCCGTACCCCAGGCTTGATCCGTATCCGGAGCCGTAGCTCCCATACCCAGAGCCGGACATGTACCCCATGCTAGAGCTTGTACTTCCGGGGCCGTACGAGGAGGATGACGAGCGTGCGAGGTCCAGATAGTCCATGTTGGACGAGGACGAGGTGGGGTATCCTGAGCTCATACTGCCGCTGGTATGAGGGTAATAAGTTAGCATGGGGCGCTGCCTGTATGACATGTAGGGGTTGAAAGGTTGAGAACTGCCAGTGTCAGTATCAGTGCTTGGCTCTGAGTAGCCATCGAATTCGTAATGAAAGCCTGACATGGTTGATGTGGTTATATATCTGGATGTTTGAGGTTTGATCAAGTGCTTGTGTAGATTGTTTTTTCTTTGTCGTTGGAATATGAAGTGGAGATTGAAAAGTAAATTGACAATTGCCGACGCATGGAGCCGATATATATATTCCAGGATATCCTCTGTGAGGTAGTGAAACAGAGCTGACTTGACATGCACACTCTGTACGGGTTGTTCCCATAACCGCCATATCACGGAATTACCTCACGAGTGTCCGAATCATGGCTGGTATTCACCAGCATCTCGACCTTGGGGGATATCATCAATTCAGCGCGGTGAGACGCAAAAGTCTATACAAAGTCGTCGCCATGTTCGTGCGCTGCCCTTGGTTGACCTTGAAACTCCATCTCCGCTCCACAAGACAAAGAAATAGGGGTTTCCCGCAGGATTTGCACACCTGAAATACAGAACAGGGCGAGTTGGTGGGGGGTATAAGCAAACTATAAAAAGAAAAAGCAGATATTACAGGTATTCAGTGTGTTTTGGGGGGGAATGTCGTGCGCTTATGAAGATCGCTGATGCCCAAATACGCCGCCAGCAGGAGAAGAAAACGAAGCGAAGGCCATGTAGCACGCTCATGCCGCTGTATTAGCCTCCTGTCGAAGGGCCGCTGGTCCTTGGAAGCCCGTGGCGGGCGGCACGTTGCGCAGCTCCATGCCCTGTGCGTCTCTATCCTTGGTCGACTTGCGGTCGCGCAGATCAGCGAGGCGCTGGTCGCCAGGTTCGTACTTGGCCTTGAAGCTGTAGTACGTAGGAGGCCGGGGCCGGCAGAGAACGACGAACCAGTTCTTGAGCATGCTTCCTTGCGTGAAAGCACGGAAACGCTCCTGTTTGATGAACTTGTGCGAGTTGATGTACTCCCTGGTCGTCTCTCCACGTGCCATGAGGAAGATGTGGTAGCCCATCAAAGCGGCGGGATAGCAGAAGGCTAAGCCGCCGTATATGACCATGGCAAAGGGGACGCGAAATTTGTCGATCGCACTGCCAAAGGAAACATCTTCCCGGCTCATGTAGACGAGAATTTGCGCCAGAGAGGCACCGAGCAGGTAAGCCGCAATGAAGGTTGCTGATGTGACAAAGGTAAAGAAATAGCGGTAGTTGCGTCTACCGACGCAGTTGTTGAGCCAGACACAGTGGTGATCGTGGGTCTCGATACAATTATCGCAGAGGCGACAGTGGTGGGCGCGGGGAGGACGCCAGATATTACATGTCCTGCAGTGCTTTACAGGGACCTCCATCGCTGCAGTGGCAGATTCTGCCGACTTGATCAGGGTCCAGTCATTAGTCGGGGGCTGTTGTCGCAAGGGATCGTCGTCTGCTTGGGGAGGGGGGAAGACGTGCTGGTTCCTGGGAAGGATCTGTGGTCCAATGTTAGCAGCAAAAAATCGGAAGCGAGTAGCAACAAGCTCTGACTTACACCAGGATCGGACACGGATGCGTGGAAGAAGGAAGACAAGCAGATGTAGAATACGTATGCAAAAGTGATTGGGATAGCGGGGCTGATATTATTCCACAACCACGGAGCTGAGAAGGCGAAGAAGAGTACTCCAGGAATGACGACCATGAAGCCGGTTGCAATGTTGATGGGCCGTTGCCTGGAGTTTTGAAACCGGCCTCCAAAGAAGAAGACCATGTTGCCTTCGAAATGCTCGAAAACAAATCCTGTTTTAGCGACAGGTGTAGGTAGCTCGGCCACCTCCGCGGGTCGTCCAGAGCCCTCGCCGTTCAGTCGGGGAGAAGAGGCTGCAGAAGACAGCTTCTCAGCACCAGGAGGCGGCACCCTGTTGGGCGTGTTGACCCGTTCCTGACTTCGGCCTGGCATCAGAAAGCTTGACCTGAAAGACCGCGGTGACTTGATCGGGCTCGGCAGATTGCCCCTCTCCTTGTAGCTCTTGTCCACGTTGATGTTGAGATTCCTCGGCTCGAACGGCTTCCGCTGAAGGGGGCGCACACTGTCGGTCAAGCTGCCAGCAGGATAGTGACCATGCGTCGGGCTGGTATTGGCCGTAATGCGGTCGAGTGTTTCTTGTTCGGTAAACTCGGTACCTCGCGAGGGCGGCGCTCGCAACTCTCCGTCGTCACTTGTCTGGTTTTGAATGCGCACCATGGGATTCGAGTTGATGCTCTGCCTTGTTCCGTCTCCAGATTCTTGCGCGTTCTCGTCGAGCGTCGGCTGCTGTTGATTGACGGTTTGGGGACGTGATGGCCCTCCTCGTTGGGCTTGCAGCTTCTGCGAGCTCAGCGGGTGGAAGAAGGCGTGCGAGGTCAGGGAGGGTACATGGCTGCGGCTGGTCGAGCTTGGTGGCCTGTTACTCGCGACGCTTCCACTACCCGTGCTGCCTCTCTTTGCGGCGAGCCCCAAAACATGACTCTTGCGGAGTGGCTGGGGATGTCTCCAGCCGTCGCGCGAGCCCGAAAGGCCCGTCTTTGCCGTCCCAGGTCGCGACACAGTGTCCGTGGTAGCCTTCCTCTGTACTCCAGCTGAATGTTGTTGGGTTTCCGCTTCGCCACCGTCGTCCGAAGCAATATCCGTCATACGCGAAGAGATAATGCTTGGTGGGCCCTGACCTTCAGAGCGTCCGGGAAACTGGGGAGTCGGAAAGTCATCGTGGTCGCTCGGCGACGTAGCCCGCTCAGTGTGATCTCTTGACGCCATTTGCGGATGTGTTGTGAAAGTCTGTGGTTTTCTCGTTGGCCTCGAAGAAACAAGTCTGGCGTCGTGCAGGGCGTTTATCAAATGCCGTCAGCACCAGATCGAGACGACGTCCACGCCGCTTCGATTTGGCAAGGAATTCGCGCTGTTGCCTCCGGGCAAAAATATGGTCAAAGGGTCGAAAGTCGCGACAGGCTTGGTGATGAATGCGTTTTAGTTCTAGCGTCGTTGACGGGAATGCCGCGAAACTCTGTCGTCGGATCAGCTCAAGGAGTGTTGTTGTTGTGATTAAAGGTCGGATTAGTGAGGGTAATGGCAGTATCGAACGACAGCGGGGAAGAAGGTCTACAACGAAGCGAAAGAAGGGAACGGTGGGTCATGCGATGAGAACCTGACTCCTGGATCGTGTGGTTCCTTTTGCAAGTCGTCGACCAGGCAAGAAGGTGAACCAGCTACTATGTACGAGCAGAGTGGAGGGAAACGGGATGGGAGCCTGGGTCTGAGGCAGGCATGGGCTTGTGCTGCCCGACGAATTGTGACGAAGCACGGCCCTCCCCAAGGGGGGTCTGGGGTCTGTTTCCGACCAATGGACAACGAGAGACGGGTGAACGCACGGGCCCAGCTGGGTGCTGCATAAAATTACGCTTTCCAGGAGGTGTTAGTGCCACTGCTTACCACAGTGGTATCGCCTAACAGGCAGCTTCCCTTGCTTGCTGGTTTGCGCGTTCGGGCACGCTGACTGGACGCGAGGAAGCAGATTGATACTGTACGTCTGCCTTTTCGCTACGACCTTTGTCGCAAATCTTCCTAGTGGTTCCGATGCTCCGGATGTACCGGTCGGCATTGGGGTAGGGCTCCCTCTTGACTAAGCCATTCCCTGTGCAAGTGCTTCATGTGTGTTTACCTAAGGAACCTTAGGTATCTAGGTACCTTACCGTAATACCTCTGCTGATGTCACTGTGAACCACGACAGGTGATCAATGCACCCATTTATATGCAATTAACCCCTCTCGATGAGGTAATGCTCCGCTGCTGCTAATTGACCAATCATATATCTTGCAAAAATCCGGCCAATCAATCCTGCCGACAAACGTCAACCTCAGAACCTCGAGCCAAGCCCATCATACGACCGTCTTCAAAGACCTTCAATCCCACCCGATCAACCGACCTTGAACCCCCCCACCGCGAATATCCCGACGCCTACGATTCAAAATGGCCTCTCTCATCGCCCGCCGCGCATTCACCACTTCCCTGCGTCGCATGACCGACCAGGGCAAGCAGCAGATCACCCAGGACTCCAAGCGCAACCCCGAGACCTTTGTGCGTGATATCCCCAGCGATGACGAGACGGCCGACAACATCCCTCGCATCTGCTGCAACCCACAATCTCTGAGAGCAGCAAGCTGATTGAGGCGGAATCACAGATCCTCGGTGGTGTCATGGTCTTCGCCCTCGCCGGCGCCGGCTTCTACTTTGGTACGCTATCCTGACCCCCTCGATCGCCTGCTGAGAGACTGGTCGTGGCCAAAATCGCATGCAGGCATTGAGCCCACAGATCCGACGATGTCCGGTCCAAAACGATAGGCGCTCTGAGCTAACCTCGGTTCGCCCCCCTACCACAGGCAGCTCGCCCACCAAGTCGACCTCCGAGACGCACGTCGTCAAGGCCGGCTCTCCCTGGGAGACCGGCTCCAAGGAGGGTGCCTACCGCTACCACCCCGGCGGTGACACCAGCAACGAGCCCAGGGACGCCCCCAGCGCCGTCAACACTGTCGTCGTGCCCAACGTCACCCTGCCCGCGGTACGCCCTTTCTCCCCTTCCCTCAAGTCCGCCGAGATGCGAAGGCTCGATCGCGAGCGACTCGCTTTTCGGATCATCTCGCGGGGCAGAAAACGAAGAATCAATGCTAACGGCATCTTTCCAGGAGCTCCACGAGAAGTACAACAAGTGGGGCAAGGACGGCTACCCTTAAGCGTGTCCTGCTTCTGTACCAAAATGAGTGCGTCGCGCGGAGCAGAGACGGTGGCCCGGGGATCGCAGACGTCGAGAGTACGCTTCCGTTTGTAGATAGAGATGGAATGGGAAACATCAGCTGTTTGAACCCTTGCGTCTGTTCTCGTGCTGTACTTGTCTATAAAGGATGTCCACATGTCGCTTGGTCTGGTTGAAGCATTCCCCATATAAGTCCGGCGCCTCATGCTTCGTTCGAGTTATCAAACGCAGATGCTCGCGGATTTTAGCACGTGAACGGCGAGGGGAATCTGTCATAGTCGGCAGTGATAAATACATCCAAGAACCAGGCTAGAGCCAACGCTACAAGGATGAGGACAAGGCGATGTAGGTCGGTTACTGAAGCCCTTGCAGCTCCGTTCGTCAACGGAATCCACTTCCTGTCCTGAGTACTGGCCTTCTTGATGTAGGAGCGCTAGGGATTCGTGCTTCAACTGACTATTTGATACACTGCATATGTGTAGAACCTCGAGAATAGGTGTGAATAGATTCCTTTTTACAGCTTTGCAGCCAGATTTCTGGTCTTGTTGGGCCATTGCAACCATATTTCCAACAGAGGACTAAACGAAGACACGAATGACGCCTTGTGAAATTGATCAACTACTGACTGAAATCAGTCGGTTCAGCCACAATACTTGATTTAGATGCACCCTCTCGAAGCCATCTGTATGACCACTTCCCAAGATCGGTGGCAAATACTATTGTCCGACCTCTCTGAGTGCCAGAGGGAGCGCACATCTCTCCCAATCTACATGAAGAAAACCTTTTATGTACAGTAAAGTCATCATTGCCCCTCGGGGAGTCATCTAAAGCTATCTACGAAGAAAGCGCCTCTATCTCCTCAGCCGAGAAGCCAAACATGTACAGCAGGTCCAGCAGGCTGTCGCCATTCAGACGGGCGTCAGCCTCCATCTGCACCCTCGGCTTAGCATTCCACGCGACGCCGAGACCGGCCGCCTCCATCATGAGCAAATCATTGGCGCCATCACCAACAGCCACGACCTGCGACAGATCAACACCCTCCTGCTGAGCAATCTGGACAAGGAGGTCGCGCTTGCGCTCCTTGCCAACGATGGTGCCCTTGACCTCTCCTGTCAGGCGGCCGGTGGCCTCGTCAATGACAACTTCATTGGCGTGGGCATGATCGATGCCCAGCTCGCCGGCTAACCAGCTCGTCAGGGGGAGGAAGCCGCCAGAGAGGACGGCCGTTTTGACGCCGAGGCGTTTAAGCGCCTTGATCAGTTTGGGGACGCCATTTGTGACGTCGAGATCCTTGCGTAGGTCGGCAAAGATGGAAGCGGGCAGACCAGCGAGCAGCTGGACACGCTCACGGAAGGCAGCATCAAACTCGAGCTCACCGAGCATGGCGCGATGGGTGATGTCAGCGACCCGAGCGGCGAGGTCGGGGGGGTTGGTAATGGTAGCGGCGAGAAGGTCAATGACCTCCTGTGTAATGAGGGTGCTGTCCATGTCGAAAACTACGAGACGCGGGTGGCGGCGCCAGAGAGTGTCTGGCTGAAGGGCGACATCAACCCCCCACTCCTGCTCGAATCGATAGATGAGCTCGTGCTTGCGGAGGTCGCGGAGCCCGAGGAAAGACGGCGAGGGCGCCGGCGACAGGGTCAGCTCGACGACTCTTGGGCTGTCCTGCCGGTCGAGGCAGCGGTGGGACGAGTTGAGGTCGGTCTCGCCCTGGGGAAGGGGGAAGGTCGACATGAGGTGGAGGAACGAGGTGATGCAGAGGGGTGAGATGTATGAGCCATACAGGTGGTCAAGCTGCTCAGACTCGGCGGCCGGGGGCTCCAGAGGGAAGGCATCAGGATTCTGCGTGGGCGCCGAGTTGGCGGGGATGTTGCTGTCCGAGGCCGAAGGGTCGACGGAGGAGGGGGCGTTGGGAGGGGAGGCGGCGCCCGAGTTGGCGGCTGACGGGCGCGGCTCGTTGCCCTTGTAGAAGAGTGTCGCTATCAGGCGGTTCGTCTGGGACCCGGCGAGAGGCGTGCAGTTGGGGTGGGAGTAGGCGTGGTTGATGCCGCTCTCGACAATCGTCGGCGGGTTCTCGGTCGAGGGAATGCCATTGAAGGCCTGGAGCTGGCGTGAAGGGGAAACCGAAGTGCGGCCCATGTCTTCGACCACAGTATCGATGCCGAAGCGGCCCTCGGGGTGGTGGGGCGGGCGGTACTGCTGGTGCTCGCGCAGGAACGAGCTGCTCCTCATGGCAGAGGTCAGCTGAGGCCGAGGCGAGTTGGTCGCAGAGAGGCGCCTTGCGGATGCCGTGGGTTCAGCCATGGCGATGTCTGTTCTGGGTGGTGACAGGCGATGGTGAGACTTTTGTCGCGATCGAAAGACTGGCGACCGAAACCGGTTCCAGCGGCGGGGTACCTAAATTGAAACGGGAGGTCGACAAGGTGAGGAGGCTGGAGCAGAAAGGACTGTGCGCGAGCCAAAATGCCGTGGTGGTGAGGAAAGGCAGAGGCAGAGAGCGATGGACGTGACAATCACAGACTCTAGGACGTGGAATTCCTAGGCAAAGCCCATCACGGACAAGGATCGCACAAGTTGGAGAGAATTGTCCGGCGACCATCAATCAACCTTGGAGGGGGAAATCCTGCCCCGCCGTCTCACGCCAGGACCGGGCGGAGCCGAAGAACCTGTCAAGAAACGCACATGGTTGGTCAGATCAGGTGACAGGCACCACTTTCCCCGTCTCCCATCGTGCTTTCCCTTGGCCACTGGGTGGGAGGTGCGCTTCGCAGGCAGGTTCAACTCCCCGCCCCGCTCAGTTTGCCTGGTGCATTGGGTCTAGCTGACATCATATGGGAAAGAGCTTTCTGATTCTCGTGATGTCAAGATGCTGGTGTGACCCGACTTCACCCAGGCGGTCGGGTGCTCGGATGAGGAGCTAAGTTCTGGGATGTACTTCCAAGGGTTCGTAGGGCTGACAAGGGGGTTGGGAATAGAGGCATCATCCTACCCTAGAAAATACATGGCATGTATGATGTATGGCTCGAGAAGGGACGCAGGACTTGACTGGCGACCTGACTGATGTAGCTCGTCCTTCGACGGCGGGGATGACAAGAGAGCACCTTCGTACCAATGCGTCCTAGGTGCTCATGACGTCGAAATCCCCCTAGACTGTCATTTAGCAACATCGTCTGAAAGAATACTGACGACTAGCATCCCTTTGAAACCGAATTCAATCTCAGTACAAAAGTACGTACCAGATGGGCCCGATAAACATGGCAGAAATGAGCTTGGCAACTAATGAAAATATAGAATTAGCCCACAATACATTCACAACAAGAAACAGTACCGCAGGATACCTAATGACATCAGGCGTACCGGGGTATAGTGGGAATATCTAGGTGGATTACGTTAGAATAAGATAGGACTCCATGTACTGAGGATTGTGGCGACAGGTGGCGGCGCTATACGGTATACAGCTTATGGGGCGCTTGCTTGTACTGAGACTGAATTCGGTTTCAAAGGGATGCAAAAAGCAGTCCATCGAGGTTGTGCGGGTATGGCATGGACCACCTCTTGATTACTTAGCTACCTGCCTACCTAGGAGGTAGGTAGGTAGGTACGGTAAGGTATCGATCGGGGTTATGCTGCTCCAGCGAACAAAGCAGCAATGTGCAGGGATAACCATCGTGAAATAAGGATCAAGGGCACCCGTCCTCGAGCATGTGCTACCTTACTAATAAAAGAAAGCCCATGTGCTCGCGAGTGGTCCATTTGCCACCTTGACATGACTGTGACGACATGTGTCTGAGCTTTCGATGCTTATTGATCACCGGGGATTCTCCATCGCTGAGCCTTCGGCGATAGCACAATAGCACTCGAGTTCCGGGCCATGACTCTGGCTGGCAACCCTCCATCCTTGGAAGCCTAACACAGTGGTCCCGAAGACGGCCGGAGATTCGCCCAGGAAACCTTCACGTCGCGCCAGACACGGCTATTGGCATCAAGGGACATGCCCCCGCAATTCGCCATAACAACGAAACATCACGCCTTCAATCGTGACCTCCGCCCCCAGCTTTTCTCAAGGTGGACAGACTCCAATATTTCCGGAGAGAGAGGGGAAGAGGGTAGGGGGGCCACAGACGAGACTCCGGTTCAGGACCTCGTTGAGCAGGTCGCTGGCAACATAAATTGAGGTCACAGCCCTCGCATCCCGCCTTCATGATGACCCGCGCATAATCCCAGTGAGATCGAGCTGGGAACCCGCCATCCCACGCTCGCCCCCCTCGTTCAGCGTTCGCAAGTGAAGAATTCTCAGCCCAAGTCGCGAGTACCCCTCCGCCTCATTCAAGCACACCAGCGTCAACGATCGATTGCGCAATGTCACGTGACATGAAAAGTCTCCAATACGGGGGCATCCCGTCTTGAAGCGCCAATCACATACCCTCGTCATCGTCACGAAAGGCCTAGCGCGGATGTCGTGATCGTTTTCTGTGGCCCTTGGCTCGAAAAGGCTCCAAGCACTCCCACAATTTCAACCTCACTTGGTGAGCATTGGCTCCGTGTTGCGTGCGCAGCGCCTTCTGCGTCCGGTGTCTAAACGGCGATTGCGCCATCGCTTGTGCGGGTTTTTGCTGTGAATCGTCTGGCCGAATACCTGTCTGGTCTCCATTAGTAATGATGCTTTGTGATGTTTGCTCACTATTCCTCCTTACGCTCCCGGGTATGCGCAGGGGGGAACGTAAGAGAAGGGAGGGCCACCCACCTTTTGATTGTTCCCCGGCTACGGAGGCCCCGTGTAAGTCGCTGACAAGCCTTCCCACGGTCCGCCATTCCTCAGCTGCTGCTCTCTTTTAAACCATCTTCTCCCACTTCACAACATCTTCGTCTTGATCAGAACCGTATTCCCCTACTGTTCGAGAACTCTTGCGTCATATCCTATCCTGGAAGACACTCTCGTCCCTAGACCATAATACCCCAGATCCTCTAAGTCCAGGTTCGGACCAGAATCCCACCAGTCCAAGCACTCACTCGCGTGCCCCTCCTACTACCACAAGGCATCCCTCTTCCCTCATACCCCTCCTTTTTCAACACGTATTCTTCCTCTCTCTCTCTCTCTCTCTCTCTCTCTCTCTCTCTCTCTCTCTCTCTCTCTCTCTCTCTCTCTCTCTCTCTTTCTCTACAACTCACTACGTTCCAAGAAGGACAAGAAAGAACATGTCCGTCTCCATGGCTACGCAAACGTCCGAACCCTTGAGGGTCGAGACCGTTCACGAGACCAAGCTGGAACACCAAGAGGTTGAGTCGGGATACGCCTCAGCCACAGATTCGACCTCGACGGCGTCATCCTCCACCAACGCTCTGCCCCGAATCTCCCTCACCAAGGCGCACCTCAACCATCTCAACTCTCAGATGGAGAACATGGATGCCATGGAGATCCTTCGTTTCTCCAAGGTCATGTTCCCCAACCTCTTTCAATCCACAGCCTTTGGCCTGACGGGTCTCGTCACCATTGACATGCTGTCCAAGATTCAGACCGAGTCGCCCAACTCGGCCCCCGTCGACCTCATCTTCCTCGACACCCACTACCACTTCCAGGAGACTCACGACCTCGTCTCGGCCGTCCAGGCCCGCTACCCCAATGTCAAGCTTCACATCTACAAGCCGCACAAGGCCAACACTCTCGCCGAGTTTGAGGCCACCTACGGCGACCGTATGTACGAGAAGGACAGCGAGCTGTATGACTGGACGGCCAAGGTCGAGCCATTGCAGCGCGCCTATGAGGAACTCGGTGTCGCAGCCATCCTCACTGGCCGTCGTCGCTCTCAAGGTGGCGCCCGTGACAAGATGCCCATCATCGAGGTCGACGACGAGCGTGGCGTCATCAAGATCAACCCCCTCGCCAGCTGGTCCTTCGCCCAGGTGCGCGATTACGTCAAGAACAACAACGTGCCCTACAACGCCCTGCTCGACCGCGGCTACAAGTCCGTCGGTGACTGGCACTCCACTTCGCCCGTGGCTGAGGGCGAAGACGAGCGCGCCGGACGCTGGAAGGGCCAGGAGAAGACCGAGTGCGGCATCCACAACAAGAAGTCGCGCTACGCGCAGTACCTCGAGGAGCTTGCGCAGAAGGAGAAGCTCGATGCCGCCGCTGCGGCGCTCGAGAAGGTCGAGGCCAGTCAGTCGGTGACCGTCTGATATGTCAATTCCTTCGTGTGTCTGGCTCCATGATTAATTGTACATATGACGGATGACGGGACGGCACCTTCATGACGGCGTTACGGGCGATATACCCCCCGGGGTTGGGAAGCATATTGGCGTTTTTTTTTCGTTCTTTCTTGTCGTTACCCCTCCATGGGTTCAAAAAGCGGAAGCATAGGATGTCGGCTGGATGGAACCGCCCAAGACAATCCACGATACTTGAATCAAAGCATAATGAAACGAAGCGCATGTGTCTACCTATGACGTGCATTGATTTGAAAGTGGCATGATGAGGTGAGGTTGATGATGGGTCTGAGGTTGGGCAACCCCTCTTGACGCGGCTCCAACTCGACCCCGCTCCGGGCTTGATCGTCGACCCAAGTCCGGCAATCAGCGGCTCATGCTTGTGCGACAAGTGCCCAGCGGGTCGGTGAATGACCGCCTGGTGACGAAGCTGGGCTCGCAATTCAGAAGGGTCCGACTTGATGTCTGCATGTTCAACATGGGCTGTTCGGGGAGGAATCTGAAGCTACCGTATTTACCCCGCGGTGAGGGCATTACCGTGCGAATAACGAAAAGTCCTCACATATTTCCAATCAACATTTGCCGACACTAGATGCATCAAAAAACAAGTGAACGTATCGATATCCTTTTAGAGAGCTCTTGAGCTCGTCTCTCAGTCTGTGTTAGTTTTGTGTCGACAGTGATGGCGAGGAAGGTTGATGGCAAGGAGCGGGGCACAGTGCAATATCGCGCGGCGTATTTTGTGTTTTTCAATACGATTTTGACAGACAACTCAATCTACTGTTTGGGTGACTTATTGTCCTTCTTCAGTTCACATTCCAGCTTTGAAAAAATAAGAAGCTCTCATCTGTTCTTGTATCCTCCACGATGTCATCTGAGCTATCAGCGCCGCCAGCTAGCTTCGTTGCGCGAAAAGACAAAATCCTGCAGCAACTCAACGTGCCTGTGTCAGACTACACGGACTTATCACCCAAAGGCTCGGTAGATGCCAACATTCGCGACCTCATAGACGAGCTCAACGAATTTGACGGACTTGTGACGACGAGCAGCTGCGGCGGCCGCGTCAGTGTTTTTCTTGAGGGGCGTCGTGATATCGCTGCCTCCTCGTCCGGCGATGCTGTGGATGATAGGCAAACTCAAGCTGGTGTGGGAGGAAAAGGGGGTGGGGGAACATGGCTGTTTGTGTCCCATGATCGCGTTGATATGAAGACTGTTGAGGACGAAGATGCAGCAGTACGTGTGATGGGCTTGGATGTCACTGGAGGGAGCCCAGTCGGCATCTCCTCGAAAAGGCTCATACACTTCAAGTTCGAACCGATGGTAAGAATTCTGCTGTTCCTCTCCATACCCTGTTATACCATCCCCTGCAGCTGAACTAAATGTTTCTTGTGATATTAACTGATATTTCCAGATCCTCCATGTTCTAACTGCCTCCACCGCTCACGCCCAGCTTCTGCTCAAGTGTGCTTTCCAGTCTGGTTTTCGCGAAAGTGGCGCATTGAACATCACCACAGCCAACGACAGCCCCATCACGCCCTTGGTTGCCGTTCGTACCATGGGACTGAGCTTCGAGTCCTTGATCGGCGTCGAGTCAGAGGCTGGCCGACGAGAAGCCATTGTGTCCACCTCATACCTAAAAACTCTTCTCGATATCGGAAACGACCGTTTTGTCGAAAACGACAAGAGGATAGCGAGATTCCGCTCGGCGTTGAGAGATGCCGTCACGGGTCGCCCAGCCAAGGTTGGAGAAAACGGCGTGGACTGGGAGGATCCTGCGGCCAGGAAGGAGCGCAAGAGAGCAGAAGGGCTGAGGCGCCAAGCTGAGATGGCCACTGCGGGACGAGTTGGCAGCGTGGCAGGCAAGCATAACGAGAGCGCCTCGGACCAAGATAACGACTTGCATGGCGATAATGCCCTCAAAGGTCTCTTCTGACCGCGGCATCCACTTTATTCTATACTCATATCATGCCTCCCGTGCCGTCCACACTGCTGCTGACGTATAATAAAACAAGCTTGCTACACCCAGCCGCTCGATGCCGCTCGATGCCGCTCGGTGATGTTCCTTTTCGCCCCTGCTTCGCGCTCGCTCAAGAGATGACCTTCTCGACCCAACCCTTTTCCCAGTTCTTCACCTCGCGCTTGAAAGCCTCAACCTCCTCCCAGCAGTCCAGCGGTCGACGGTCGTTCTCCCGCAGGCACCGCACGACCTCGCTCCGCGCGCTCTCGACGCCCTCGGGCAAGTCGCGCACCTTCCGGCGCTCCTCGAGCTTAGCTCTCAGCGCCTCGACCTCCTTCGTGACCGACTGGCGGCTGCGCGCGCTGGCATCGGGCGCGGGTGCCTCGTCCTCGGCGGCAAACGTCTTCTTGAGGTGCTCGGCCTCACGGGCCTGGAGCTTCTTCAGCTCCTCGGCGACGCGAGCCTGGACCTGGAGCTCAGAGAGCTGGGCGCGGGAAGCATCGGTCTGATTATCTCCATATTAGCGACACCAGACAATCGGATGTTGGGAGGGGCGCAGCGTACCTCGCGGCTCGTCTGTAGGGAGTCGATGAGGTCGTGGGAGACGCCTGCGGGCGCGGACCTGCATGGCGGCATGTCAGTTGTGTTGCTCCACGTCGGGCCAGTTGAGGCCATGGAAATGATTCACGGGAGGCCGTACCCTGTCCACTGATGCAGAGACGTGCTGGAAGACGGCTTTGACTCGCTGGCGCCCATGATTGCGGCGTCAATGGGTTTGCGATGGTATTTGATGCTGGCCGTGATGCAATGGAAATTCCCGGACCTTGAACTCGATATGCCGAAGCTCGGTGTTGGCCTGAAAACTGAGCATCCGTCATCAGGCACAAACAGCTGTCGCCGACGCTGCCAGCTGTTAGAGAAAAAAAAGCTGACTCATCATGGTGATCACATCATCACAAAGTCGAGTATCCTAACTTTCACGTGATAAAATCATCTAAGCTTATTTAGATCTTGATCGCAGCCCCACCCGCCAGCCTCCTTCTGGAATCCATGGGTCCGTCCCATCAACTCGAAGGCATCAGGTGCTGACCATCTATTTCTCTTTCACGACCAGCATCGACACAACATGGCAGCATCGTTGTCTTGACAGGGGCCAGGACCAGGATGGGCTCCTCACCGGCTCACCGCCGACAAGGGCTCGGCGCGAGGTGGGATGAACGCCAAATGCCTCGCCTGCAGCAAAGCTACAGGGCTTCGCACCCTTCTTGAGCACGTCCACCTGATACTGGCGGATCCCCCAATATCGCTGAAACGTCCCAAGACGGCACGCGCCAAATGACTTCATCTTCACGAGACAGGCGCCCTGGCAGCTGTCAGCGCCAGCCAGCTCGATGGCCATCCCCGGGCGGCCCCTGCCTGTACTGTCCCGGCCAGGCGGTTAATGACCATATCACGGCGCGCCGCCCGTTCTTGTCAGTGTCGCCTGTCAGCGCATCGCCCGTCCGTGCCACGGTGCCAGAGAGCAGGCGACCATTTCGGAAGCTGGCGCCGAGATCGCGAGCGGACATCAGATCCAAATAGAGCCGGGAGGCGCAAGAAAAGCCTAGGCGCGCTCCGCCGCTCATTATCCTGCGACGTGGGGCTTGAAGCCCGCATGAGCTCTACATGTATGTGCTTTTTCTCGGCTGCATTGGAGCACCTAATCGCTACAACGTGCACCGGCCCTGTCGTCACATCCCGCGCCCATCAGACGAGGATCATATGAGATGTTGCGATCTGGTATATGAAGGGATGGGATGGCTGATATGAGATGTCTGGGACCGATGCCGCCGAGCCACCCTGTCACCCACGTTGGTGTATTGTTGGCAGGCTCGATGATGGTGGCATAAGGTCGTCCAAGCGAGGGGAATGAACTACGGAACCTTCGGTTGGCGAGTACGAAGATGACCTGTTCGACCGTCAGTCCATTTCATGCGGAATATTGGGTGATGCAGACTAGCGAGGCAGTGGGCCTCCGGCGTGGACCATGTATTTCACATTCCTCGCATTTGACGGATGTCGTGGAGGGCTGGAAGAGGGGTCTTTTCAGTGCGTGACGAGAAAATCGGATGGTGGTAGAGCGTGTCTGTCCACCATCTCTCCACCCTTGCTCCCCTCACCTCTTCGGCCTTCAGGCGCCTTGATGCTCCACCGCTGAGTTGACCATATCGGTGCTCGGACTGGTATCTGCACGGGATACATGGCTTGCCCACCATGGGAGGCTTGTCTATTGACGACGTGAGATTCATCCGAAGCCATGACGGAAACCTGATGTCCGTTCGTGTGACTCGAAGCATGACTAGATGACGAACGCAAGCTCTGCGTGACGTCGGTGCTGGATGAATGACTGGTCTGCACAGCCTGAAGCATTCCAGACTGGACGGCCATGTGCGTGCTGCTGTGACTTGGTGGTGCCACATGGGACGAGACTCAGAAATCTACATGTACCAGTATTGAGTTGGCCAAGCGAATGGAAGGAAGAGGCGAGGAACAAACCCACGTTGAGTCTGGCCCATCCAATCATTCCAGGGGCCCTTGGTGGTCTGGGGCCTGCTGCGCCGCCCGCTGCGCTTCCCCTGGCGGCTGGGCGCGCGCGGCGGCGTTGACCCCTCCTCCCTGCGGAATCCTGCTGAGCAGCTATGAGCCAACCAAAAGGCTCCAAGGTGGCTGGGCTCGGGAAACTCTGGGCCAGTCCCAGGCGTCGTTTGCCCTCTACGCATGGCCACTCGAAGCGGCCAGCCGAACAATACGGACCAGTTGTAGTACGAGAACGCCTGTTGTCCGAAGCTGTGGTGAACGCACGGCCCCTCCTCGGCCCGCCCGCTTGGTGGTCCCTGGACGTTGATACGATGACGAGCCAAGTCGCCTGTACCGCCGGTTCGTCCTGACTCTGGGAAAAAATTACTTTTGACCGTATCTGGCTGTCTTACCGGGACATGCTGTCTCTCAGAGGTCTCTCAGCTCCCAGACATACGTGGGCTCCCTCTGTTCGAATCAGACGACAACAGACCAAAGTCGTCGTGTGGCATCTCGAAGACCAGAGAGAAAGCCATATGCAGGGAACACCGACACACCTGTTACGCGCAGTCGAGGGCCGTCGGCAAGAACAAGCCAGGATGAAAAAGACTCCATGGGACCCCGTTCAGAACCCATATTCCCATTTGAGTAATAGCCAGACCAGGGCATTTTCTCTGTGCGCGTTATCAAAAACGTACCTCTTCTTCCCTCGTGGTGTCTCGCAAGCCTGGGCCGCCACCTGGTTCAGGGGTGGAATGCATCTCGCCCGCGACAAGCTGACAGTAGGCGTGTTGGCAAGCAAAGCAAGCAATGAGCGTAGGCCAGTGCCTGGCAGCGTGGAGACACCAAGCAGGGCCGGCCAGGGGGTAGGGGAGGGGAGAGAGGGGTGGGGGAGGAGGGAGAATAATGGACTGGAGCCAGTCCTGAAAGGCCTGCGCAGTGCTTTTCGCAACCCCTGGCCTTGCCTAGACTGGCGGTCCTGTCCCTGCTTCCGATCCTGTCAATGTCGTGTTGAATCTCAAGTATACCTTGCGTCCCGTTCTTACTCGTGCTCCCGCCCCCCCCTCTTCTGATCTGATCTGCTCCTCTTCACCTTCGCCGATCACTTTTTGTGCTGCGTACTTTTGTCTTCACTTTCTTCTCTGAGTAGAGGTTGGATTTTGCTGCTTCATTTCGGTTTTTGGACTTTGAACGCAAAGAGGCGGACACGGATTCACGAAACAAACCACCCTTGAGATTTCCGTCCCTACCAGTTCTACACCGACTCGATCGTGCCTGCCGTGCATACACTATCAATCCACTCACCGAACCTCACCGAGGCAACCGCACCTTCCGTTCTCTTCATCTTCTCATTCTTTACGCTGCGCGGTGCCTCCTGCTAGGAAGCCGTCCACATTCGTTTCTTTCTCCATCTCCATCCCTCAACCTCTCTCTTTCGACAGCTTGCTGTGCACGCAGAATTTTACCGCTCTTTCGGCCACTTCATTACGTATTCCAGCAAGCAAACGACCAGGACGTCCACCTTGCCTCACCAGCCAGATCAAGGGAGTCTTTCGAGGGAACACACACAGACGCCCTCTCGGATCACGCATCGACACTTGAATTATTTGAGCATCGTCATCTTGCGCATCTCTGCTGATCGACAACATTCGATTTCATTGACATCAGCCTGCCGACAACGTCTGTGCCTTTGAGCAAGATCGACAGCCTTCGTTTTGTTCTCGCTTGGGTCTGTGGAGACAATCGTCCCCAGGAATCTTGGACCCTCCACGCCAGCACCGACGTCTTCACACCATCCCTAGAGGCTGGGAGCATTCTTCGGCGAGTGAGACAGGGCGCGTCACCCTCGCACACTGCTCTTTGGCCATTACAAAGGCCTTGCGTCCCGTTTCAAGGGTCCTGCTTTTCTCTGTCACTCGTCGTTCGTCCACCCCGGACAATGCTCTTGTGTGACATTCTTCATTGAACCAAACTACATTTCTATCCGACCGCGTCGGCATTTTCCAGTCACATCCGGCTGCCTGCAGAAGCACCGAACCGGCTCATTCGGGATTCTTACCCATTCGCCATCCTTGGCGATTTTCACGCCCACCAAGCAACACTCACTATCATCATCAGCATCAGTGATAACCTTGCATATCAAACCTATACCCTTCAACCTCATCACAATATGTCCTTCCTCCGCCGCAGGCTCGCGGACCTGGACTCCCTTCCCACGCCCATCGACAGCTCCATGGCCGACCTGGGCACCAGGGCAGAGGTGCCCGAATCCACCTCCACCATCGCCCCCTATCACTCCAACCTGGCTGGCGTCAACCAAGCCCTTAACTTGGCCTTCGTCGACGCGCTCTGGTGGACACTGGGCATCATGGCCATGATTATCCTCGTGATCCGGTTCGGACAGATCGCCTGGGCCCAGCTTCGACGGGTTTCGGCCATGGCCGTCCCCGCAGAGGCTCAAGAGTATTGGAAGAGGGCACAGTCAAACTGGATGCCTTGGCTGAAGCGCAACATCATCTACGCCCCCTTCTGGAAGAAACGCCACAACCGCGAGTTCCGGCTCTCCAAGGCTGGCCACATGGGCGTCCTCCCATCTCGCCTTCACAGCATTATCCTCTTCATCTGGCTGGCGAGCAACTTTGCGTACATGTTCGTCCTCAACTGGCGCAACGCCAACGTCTTCTCCTTTGCCGCCGAGGTTCGTGGACGCTCTGGAACCCTGTCTGTCGTCAACATGGTACCACTGATTATCTTTGCCGGCCGCAACAACCCCTTGATCTCCTGGCTGAAGATTAGCTTCGACACCTACAACCTGCTCCACCGCTGGATGGGCCGTTTGTCGGTCATCGAGGCCGTCATCCACACCATTGCTTGGATGTACGTCAGGCATGCCGACGGCGGTTGGGAGGCTATCACCTCTCGCATCTTCCACAAGGCCTTTGAGGCATCTGGCATGCTGGGTACCGTGGCTCTTGTCTTCATCCTCATTCTCTCGCTTTCGCCTATCCGCCACGCTTTCTACGAGACCTTCCTCAACGTCCACATCATCCTGGCGCTCATCACCTTCGTCTGCACCTACATTCACTGCGTCGCCTCGGTCCATCCTGGTGGCCTCCCTCAGCTGCCCTGGATGATGGCCATCTTCGTACTGTGGTTCGCCGAGCGCCTCGCTCGCGTCCTACGCACGGCCTACATGAACTGGTCCGACAGGGGTCTGACCGAGGCCGTCTGCGAGCCCATGCCTGGTGACTGCACCCGAGTCACCATGCACCTGCCCCGTTACGTCGACGTCAAGCCCGGCACTCACTGCTATCTCCGCTTCGCCAAGGTTTCTCCTTGGGAGTGCCACCCTTTCTCCGTCGCCTGGGTCGACCATATTCCCATTCACGACAAGCTCGGGCTGAACAACTCTGACTTTGACGAGGAGAAGCAGCCGATGAACGCCGTTGACCGTAAGAACTCAACAACGTCTGTATCCTTTGTCATCGGCGCCCACACTGGCTTCACCCGCAAGCTCTACGACACCGCTCGTGC